ATTCCTGTGACCGATGATATTAATATTTTAATAACTATGTAGCTTAACTATTGCAATAATACAATTTACAGGATCAGTGGCTCATTTCAAAATTCTAATTTTGTGCTAAGTTAATAAGCAATAATGATCAAACTTTGAGTTTGTGCCAAAATTGTTTGTAGTAGACACAGGAGTTAAGAAGTTAAGAATAGGGGTAGTGTAAAAGAATGTTTTTAATTGTGTTATTCTACATTTACTGTTACTAGCAGAAACGACGCCCTAAGGGCAGCTGTTTGTGCTTGTAATTAGTAATCGTTGTATTCATATCTCATTATAAGAATTTTTAAAAAAGTGAACGTTTTCTAAAAAGTATTTTTTTCTGGGAAGTACTGCGTGGGAAGTGTTCAGATTGTGCTTTTTAGTTATACGCAACTCTATGCATCCAAATGATTCAATGTATAGAGCTCACAAATTTTATAAATTTTACTAATATAAACTGTGATGTTTTTATATATTAAAAGTACTACCCTTTATTGAAAAAATAACAGTTTTTAAGAACTCTTGTTTTTTAGTACTAAATTTAAAAATTACATCAATAAAGTTATAATAAAACCCTCACGTACAGTCCTAATGAAAGTCATGTTCTTGTTGTGAGGAGAGTACTTTTATTTAAAATAAATAAATCAATAAATAAATAGTGGTTGTACATACCATAGTTATTTTTCTAATTGTCTGAGTTTTGAATACCCAAAGTGTGAAATTTGTTTATAGATTTTTGTTTGTGATGCCATTCAATAGATGGCGTCACACTTCATACGCCTCAATCACTACTTCTGGCATTGAGATCTTGTATTTCGGCACAACAGATGAAATCATCTTATATAATATTTCAGTCACACAGATAGACAGATAGACGGCTACGCCATTGCTCCATTATCGTAAGGTGTTCTTTGTTGGATTTTAGTCTATTTCTAACTATACGAGACAAGGCCAAAAGTTAACAAGAGTTGAAGTTTAAAGCAAAGCATCTTTTTTTGTCAAAATATATTGCGTTTAAAAGACTGTAAGGCTCGTTTTTGTTTAAGATTAAATAATTCACATGTTAAACTTTCACGATGCTCCTCTTGTTGTAAGATAGGGAGAACGTAATTTTACTCTGTCAAGTTTGATTAGTTGATAGTGCTCCTAGCTTGTTTTTTTGTGTGTGATGCTTTGTTTGTTTGTTTGAAGTTAAGCACAAAGATACACAATGGGCTATCTGTGCTCTAACCACCACGGGTATCAAAACCCGGTTTCTAGCGTTGTAAGTCCGCAGACATGCCGCTGTGCCACTGTGATGCAAAGAGTATTACTTGTTGCATTCTAATTGCGTTCTTTTGCATGTATTTGTTTCAGCTTGGTAAATAGGGAGAGGGAATATGAAAACATTTTCGTGTAGCCTTTTTGCGTGTAACTAATGACGTTCTTGTAAACCAGATGCCAAAAGTCGTAAACTTATCCTAATCCTCTATTAAGACAAAGGTTACACATCCAGATGATTGTTCAAAAGGGCTTATGCTTGTTTTGCACTGTTTCTGTCTAATGACAGTGAGGTCATACGTATTTTAAGGGATGATACAGGGGTTTGTTCAAGCTTGTATGAGTCGAGTATTTACCTATCTCGATGGTGTATAGTGAGAATGATGATGGATATAGGTACTCTAAAAATTATGGGATATATCAATAGGACTTGGTTTGACCTCACGCTTCTGGAATGTGCTGTATTGCAAATACTTGATGCCTCCCTGCTTGACAACAGTGTACTTGAATATGGTATGTAATTATCGGCTTATAAATGGTAGAGTACAATGTTTTTAATGTCTTCAGTGTGTCTTTAGTTAGATAAGGCTTTATTCTTTTACTGAGTTGTGCACTAGGAATCTAACTGGTGGCTCTGAAATTATGTTTCTCTAAATATAAATACGTGTTGGCGATTGAGCAGATTCAAGCAATATCCAGTAATATCTGTGAAGTTTTGTAGTGGCACAGTATATCCAGAGGGGAGAGATTAGTGTTCTCGTGTATTAATACAACTTTCTGCTGCTATGACATCTCGTGCTGTGGATCATGAGATATAATGTTTTTGTAAACCCTCATGCTAGGAAACGATGGAGGAATTGTAGGCATGTAATATCAATTTTGGATTGGCATTTAAGATTAAATGTAAATCAGTCCCAGATGGACCTAAGATAAATAAAGAAAGTGTTGTAACATTCTATTGCATGAAGTCATTACCTTTAACCCCACATTGTAACTTGTGATGCGTATACATTTTATTTAGTTGTGATGTGGGGAAGAAATATTTATGTATTAATTCTATTATATTATAATTAAAGCATATGATGTAAAATATGTTAGTTCACACTTAGGTAGTGGTGCTACAAATGGAACCAGTCACTAGCTATATTACTCGTTTATTCTTCTTGGGCATGGAAGTTCTATTTTCTGGGAAATTATTCTCATGTGACTAAAAGTTTTGGTCTGTGAAACGTCAGAATGTCCTGAGCCTGATTGGTTGTACTTTAAGTAATAGCGTTGCTATAGAGGTAAACGGTTATGTTTTTCGCGAGAGATTGAAGGGAAGTTGTGTGTGAGAGTTTGGCGTCCTAATAACATTTAATTTGAATTAGCATGAACAAACATATACGGTGGACATCTCTGATAATTTTCATCAGTCTTATAAACTAGGAATCACAAATCAAACCTTCTATTATCACAATAAAATTATATTCAATTTGACTCTGCTGTGGCTTTACCAAATTTGTCTTTTCTCAGACAGTGTCAATCCATGGTTTTCCTATCCGTCTTCTTACAGTCATCTTGACAGTGATGAAGAGTGTCTTCAGCTTGCTGAAAGGGTAGCTTACCATAATTTCAACAGAATCCTCGCTATCTTGGTTCATTACGGCCAACACATAATTTTTATATGGATAGACGGCTAACATAGCAGCTTTGGTTGCTATTTTACAATGTTTCTACACTGCACAAGATGAAATTAAAATACTTTCAAAATATTTTATTCTATTCTCTGTACCAATAAAATGTTTGTTTTTTATAAACAAAACAATTTATTATTATCGATAATATTATTTTGCAGAATACCATCTCTCATAACTTCTTTTGTATTATATTGTATTGTTTTATAGTGTAGGAAATAGATAGAACATACTATTATATTGTTTTATAGTGTAGGAAATAGATAGAACATACTATTATATTGTATTGTTTTATAGCGTATGAAATAGACAGAATATACTATTATACTGTATTGTTTTATAGTGTAGGAAATAGACAGAATATATTGTTATACTGTATTGTTTTATAGTGTAGGAAATAGATAGAACATACTATTATATTGTATTGTTTTATAGTGTAGGAAATAGATAGAACATACTATTATACTGTATTGTTTTATAGTGTAGGAAATAGATAGAACATACTATTATATTGTATTGTTTTATAGTGTAGGAAATAGAACATACTATTATACTGTATTGTTTTATAGTGTAGGAAACAGATAGAACATACTATTATACTGCATTGTTTTATAGCGTATGATATAGACAGAACATACTATTATACTGTATTGTTTTATAGTGTAGGAAATAGATAGAACATACTATTATATTGTATTGTTTTATAGTGTAGGAAATAGATAGAACATACTATTATACTGTATTGTTTTATAGTGTAGGAAACAGATAGAACATACTATTATACTGCATTGTTTTATAGCGTATGATATAGACAGAACATATTGTTATAGTGTATTGTTTTATAGTGTAAGAAATAGATAGAACATACTATTATATTGTATTGTTTTATAGTGTAGGAAATATTCAGAACATACTATTATACTGTATTGTTTTATAGTGTAGGAAACAGATAGAACAT